CAACATACGTAGGAACATATTAGCCACTCAGTATACGGATACTACGCATTCTCTTATTTTGACCCAAGCTACTGGTTACACAAAATACCAAGGCAGACATAAAAGAAAAAAACCAACTAGCTTTCCTCATTTTAAGCGACATCCTGTCTAGGCCACAAAGCCGTATCTCACAACTCTAACAAGAAGTGAGGGGGGTTTTGCTTTTTTTTTTTTTTTTTTAAGAAGAACAAGCTGAAGGACACCAACAAATCTTTAAAACAATCAGACTGAATACCAAAAGATTACGGAAGATGGGGCTAGAACGGTCCTTAAAAGGTCATCTTGTTTCAAGGCTCTGATGCTCAGTGTTGGTGTCTAGATCCTAATTATCATCAGGATATAATGAGGCGTAAGCACAGGATGTGATGCACGCCTCCCTCTACGTGTGACTGCTGCTGAAATCCAAGCCTGTGATACCTTCATAAACTATGCTGGGCAACTCCCATTTAATCCATCCCATTTTCCCCAGGCGGTATCAACTCTGTCATTTAAGACAGACATTTGTCTAACCTGTTCTTAAAGACGTCCAATAAAAACTATGAAAAAGTACTTGACAAATAAGATTCAGAAGCCTTTATGTAATCAATTTTAAAACTACTTACAGTTTATTGCAATGATTATTGCTGTAAACAAACTCAGCCCACACAATGGAACGGCACAGCGTACACGTTTGGAGCCCTCTCTCATGCACACAACCATTTAATCACTTCGTAACACAGCACTAGCCAAATGAAACGCTTTTTCCTACATTTACATCATCTTCTGTTTCCTTATATTTTAACTTGTTTTCCTGTCACACGATCCAGGTGCAATACTAAATGCCTGATGTCAGGGTTCCACCTGCTTGGCAGTCTATTACCCTATGACATGTACTTCAGTAACTTTTTACTGCGATGCTGCCAGCTTTTCAGTCAATGGCACGTTCTTTCTGGAGTAGGTAGAGAAAATTAACTGAGAAGCCAGCTCAGCTGGACTCAGGGTAGAGAAAAATACATTAACTGAAAACAACCTAGTAACTTTTAAAGTATTTTAGCAAGCTTTCTGTATAATGGATCTCAATTTTGCTCTCATACAAATTAAAAATACTTAATCTCTTACTGCAGAGTGTTTACTTAACATACAAGCCTAAGGAAGAAAGTTAACTTTGGGAACAGTAAGGGAAGGCAGCCATCAAGTTCACACTATTACTTAAGCTAATTTTCATGGTGGCAAATCCTTTTTCATGGTTGCAAAAGTAGCGACCACGTATTGAACAACAGATTTCAAGAACAGCTTAATCCCACCAACAGCAGAAAAGCCAAAAGATACATTAGACGGCTTGACATGTCCAAAAGGAGTAGTTTTTATCCTGTTTCCAAGTCCACACAAACCCCCTTCTGCTAGCCACACACCCCCAGGTATGGAGCAGCGTACTCTACAGAAGTAAAACTTATCAGCTTATGAAACAGCAGAACCCCAAATCTTTCTTCCTCTCCCACTTCTTTATGGCAGGGCATGCTGCCTAACATTCACTAAGTGGGAAGATAAGTTATGCAGAACTGTGAGCAGAACAGCAGAATAGCTGGTTCCTCTATTTCTTTAGCTGTACCGTGAAATGTACCATGTTAAAAGTCAGACAAGTGACTTCATAGCAATTAAAAAGATCACAGTTGTTACCTAGAAGACTCAGAAGTAGGCCCAGAACTTCTGAAATCATCTTTTTTTAAAGTCACTATAACAGAAATCCACAGGCAACAATTTTCAAGATGTTTCTTTAGTAAAGCTTCTTCAGGAAAGGAAATAAAGGAGGCAAATTAGGAAAATGGTATAAGGAGATTCCTCTTTAAATAGTAAACTATTAATATTCATCAAGATACTACTGTAAATAAGAATTCCTCCAACAGCAAACAGAAAGTAAAAGAAGATATGCTAATTCTTCAGGACAGTCAGAACAGATGATGTGGATTATTAAACTTAGTGGCTCAAAATTCTGCATTTTGCTATCAGATTACACAAGCAAGCTCTACGCTCAAATGCACTCACTAGGCCAGTGACATCTCCAAGAAAAATAGTGCTATATTCATGGGCCCTCCTTTCCTTTCAACCATATGCCACCCATCAGGTTCTCAACGTTCAAAAAAACAGTTGCAACACTCAAGTCTGAATAAAACAGGTACCCGTCATGAACATACCACGCTTTATCCATGTCAGACATTTGCACATACGTGCAGCATAACCAACCTCAGCACATATCAAAAAGATGCCCTTTGTGCCTACAACTGAAATCACCGTCTTTGATCTCATTGCACTCCAGAAAGCATCAGTAAACTGTCTTGCAGCACAAGTGCTGGTTTTGAGACTGCATAATCCTTGTCCCCTCAAGTTAATTTATCATGACACAAAGAAACAGAGCTCACACTGAAGTACACTACCAACCTAAGCATGTACAGCTCCTGAAGTGCCACAATAACACAGTTAATACCGTATTCTATTCCATCATATTGCTACGGTTTCTGTTCTGCTGCCTGCTTTTTTCAACGTGGTAAATGCTGCCTGTGTTTCAAGCCCAATTGATTTTCCTCATTAATTAGTTCAGAAAATATTTATCAGTCTCTTGCCCTCTTAAAATGTTTTCTAAAAAAGCCTTTTACATGCAGTCTGTGTCAGAACTAGTAATTAAGCCTTTACAGCAACAGTCCCCAGGCTGAAGCCCATAAAGCCCTGTCAAACAACTACACATTTGACAAGGAGGATGAATGGTCTGTTGGTCCAAGAGTTTGGGGGACACCGTTCACGCCACACTACTTCACAGCACACCACTGAAGGCCTGGAACAATTTGCCGGCGTCATTTTTCACTCACTTATAACCATATTGTATACAAATATTTGTACAGGGCTAATGTTTTTCAAAGTAAGTTTTCATTGTCAATATTGTCTTCACCCTCAGCATTGTTATTTTTCTGATTTTCGGGAAATGTACAAGGTAAGCACAACCAGAGATAAGCACAGGACACGAAGTCTGGAAATAGACTTGTAAGATGGTTTGTTCCATTACAGATAATGCTGTCAATCCAATTTCCTACAGGAGTTTGGCAAGACAATGAGCTGGAGGAAGTTATCCTGCACAGCCGCCTTCTATTGTATTGCTTTATAATCTTGCAGAAAATAATGCTTCACAAACTTATTTACGCTGGAGTAATTCTGAGAAATTTTTTTTATTTTTTTGTGGTAACATCCTAAGTCAGAGTTTATGCCACTGAACAGTCGGCACCACCTGTTGCTGCCTGCAGGTTTTATGTGCCAACTTTGAAGAGCTACAGTCTAGACAGCACTTATTTCCTTTTTTTTTTCCCCGTAATGCCTCCTCACTACTTTTTGTAAACACCCTCTACAACTGATCTGCAACGGACAATCCACCTCCTGCCACGGAGAAAATCCAGGGGGAAGGCGGAGGAGCGGCACAGTCAGTGCACGGTTCCATGGTTGCTCTGCAAAGCAGCGCTGCTTTTCTTCTACGGACCGGCTGACTGAAGACCAGCGCTTCGGGAGGGCTGCCGAGGGGCCCGCCGGGCCGA